CTCTCTCTCTCTCTCTCTCTCTCTCTCTCTCTGTGTGTGTGTGTGTGTGTGTGTGTGTGTGTGTGCGCGCCTTCTTCCCTATCGCTCCCGCTCCCTACACTCCATCTCCCTTGCTCCCTCCACCCACCTGCTTCTTCTTATGCGCACGAGTGCATCGCCCCCCTCTTCCCTCTGCGGCCCGCCCACTGCCTGTTTTCCCGCGCCCGCAACGCCGCGCGACACCGCGGGCGGACCTCAACCATTCGCGTCGGCCTACATCGACACGCTTCACCTCCTCGACCGCCCCAATGTGTGCCGTTCCGCGTACCCGCGGGCCTCACGTCCGGTTCCGCCCTGCCACGTGCCGCCGGGACCGCCTCATGCCGTTTCGGGTACGCGCCTGTGGGTACCAGACGCCCTGGGCCTCGCCTCCGGTTCCGCCCCTCGGTTGGTTTCTGCTGGGCCCACGACCGCGTGTGTCGCTGGGACCTTCACATCTTTTAAGTGTATAGGGATATGAGAGGGAACCCCTCACCTGTGTCGTCATAAGTAGGCCTGTCGGGGATGCTGCACCCCATTTCCAGCATGTGTAGCTCCCCAGCAATAGATGACAACCATAGGGAAGCCCTCCCATTGAGGTTGCTCCTCGGTCCTCTGCTGCGGGTAGTGTACAGCAAAAAAAAAAAAAAAAAAAAAAACACCCCGAAATATCTCAAGCAAGGCACACCTTGAGAACAGTGTGTGTACATTGTACGTACCTTGTATTCGAGAGCACCTTCTATTCGAAAATTTAAGTGCAATTTCTCAGAACCATTTTTCGGAGGTAACTTGAATACAAGGTACGTACCTTGTTTTTGAATTAAGACGGTAGGTCCCAACCAACAAGAGTTCCACTTTGACCCTCTTTCTGCCCCTACCGTACTGAAAAACGAAAATCAGCGTCAGAAGGAACCTACTCAACTACAGCCGTTCAGAATGCAAAGACAAAGCACTATAGAAAGGTATCCCGTCCAAACCAAAATACTTCATCCATCCGTCCATCAAGTGAGAGAGCAGTCTACAAACTTATGCACACAATCAAGACCAAAAGGGGGTAGGAAAACGAGACCCAGAATTGCCCCAACAGGACATGCAGTACCATCCACACAACCATGGGTAACCTTTAGGTGCACGGCACTTACCTGTGTGGCCCGAGGTCCGAGATGAAGTATAACTCACACCCCTTTCTCATATGGTCCTCCTGACCCCAATAGCAACCTTCACACTAATTTCCCATTAGGAAGGTCTACCCTCCAGGGCCTCCACCCACGTACAACGCTGGATCCCCCGCTGATGTTCAAGACCAAAGTAGCAACTTGCAGTCGTTCGATGCAGATACCGCCACTTCCCCCAAGCTTGCCTACTTGGAGGTAAGCCCCTAAGGTCGCTCAATGTCCTCCTTAGGTCCAGATTCCAGGCGTGACTGCCTCTCACTGTCAGCTCTCCCAAATCGCCTCAAGAAGTCCCTCCAAGTGTCTCGCCACCCCAAATTTACACTCAAGCAACCTCCGGTTCATATGTCGACCCTACACGTCCCAGCCAGGACCATGCTGCCCCACTTTCCTCCACTGCCAACACAAACCCTGAGTAGTAAGCCCTAAACTACTTAGTTTAGGGTTGGGGCAGCCAGACCACATCTCACCAGCAAGATCCACTTTGATACCAATGTTTTGATCCTGGCTATTCCAAAGTGCAAATACACAATGAAAGACAACGCCGTTCAATTGCAAAAGAAGTGAAAGAGCTTCGAAAGAGAAAGAGACAAAGGAAGAAGAAGACGAAAGAAAGAAGAAGAAGAAGGTGTACACCATCAAAAGATCAATGACAAATCCCCTATCTCTCACTACTCACTCCATCCTCCTTATATCCCCCAATCTTATTATTCAACAAATAATAATAATAACAATGAAAGGCTGAAGCAGAACCAATATCCGAATCTCCCTCTTACTGCCAGCACTACATGAGGTCCACCATCGCCACGACATTCATCCTCAACCAACTCCAGTACGTGGTGACTGTGGGCGCATGGCGTGGGCCCTGCCCCCGGTGCCCCGATGTTCAAAAGACAATGCAAAAGCAGATATGTCCTCTGCTACTCAGTCCGCCATGCCTGACTCTGCCCTGAAGCCTTCTTGATGCAGCGTAACCCCTGGTGGGGCCTTTCAGGTGCAGCGCCTACCAAGGAGACGAAGATGACGCCCACCATACCCAGGTAAGTACCTCTACCACTCTCCTCCTCAATCCCTTCTTCCTCCTCCTCCTTCCTGGTCCTGTCCACCATAGCCAAGGTGGAAGGCCAGGCGCTCCTCCTCCCATCACTTTACACCAGCACTCTCCGCCAAGCACTCCAGCAGTGTGATGCCCAAACTTGCACACCGCAAATGAGGAGTCCAGTGCTCCTCCTGGAGATATACCGGCCAAGTTGCCTCTTGGGTGGTGACTTCCAGGCCACGCCGCCTCCGAAGCAACCGGTACCATCCTCCTTTCGGAGAGAAACATCATCACAGGTCTGATATCATCCGCTACAGGCCCTCGACTCAGTACTTGGACTGGTACCCTTGACCTAGGCCTACCGGACCTCTAGAATTCACATGGCCTCTGAAGGTACTAACTTTTGTCTTCCTCTGCTCGGCCTACCGTTACTCAAGTGCTACCCTAAGCTATGTGGGCCTACACTACCGCTACTTGAATGCTAGCCTACAATACACTGTTTCCCCACTGCAACCCTCAAAGTCATGGCCACAGATAAGAACCAGCCCCAAGGGCCTCCCAAACAAACAGGTAACCTGGCGGGTTACACACACACTCAGGCAGACATGCACTCAGACAGGCACACGGAAACCAGCAAGCACGCACAACCACAGACTTAGAAATCTCAGCAGAAAGCGGGAATCTCAGCAAGGCACACGTTCCAGCGGTGAAACTCAGAAATCAGCAGGGTTCTCAGTCTGTGTTTTTGCAGGTCATTACGGTTCAGTTTATTTATTTCATTGGATGTAATTTTGATTATATGTATCAAATCAAAGAGATATTATAAATCATTTAATTTTAATAAAGATTTGATATATTAGATTTGATAGATTGATTTGAAAACACAAGATCTATGAGACACAACTGCACGTGTTACTTGCACCAAGTTTCCGCACACTGTGAGAAGTGAATTAACACCGTTTGACGCACAGAAAATCTTCCAAACGGAATAGAATAAACTCGTGGACCAATCACTTCATTTCTATGACTACTGCGTCAGTAGTGACCCTAGCAGTTTCAGGTGTAAACAGAGGCTGTCTAGAGTGTACAAGCTCAGAACCGGAGGCTTTGGGTGCTGCTGTTATCCGGGCCGGATAAACTGGCATTTTGATAGAAAAAAAGTTTAAAAACTGATTTCTTTTCCAACAACCAGCACCTCCGAGCCTCTTTATGCCATTGCGGACTTGCACTGCGCTACAAGCTTTGCCAAAATACCACCGGTTCTCTTTATTGGCTATGGTCGCCAGCCATTTCGGTTCCCTAGCTGTGTAGCACTGTTCACCCTGAATCTGCGGATGGGCTCAGTTTTGATTCTCAAGTTTGCCTGGCGATGTACTGGTGGTTAAATTGCACAACACTTGACGTCGCAGTTTTCCCAGTTCTTTTTGCGTTTTTCAAAGCCATACTACCACAGAGCTAGAAGGAATCCCTTATGAGAACTGTTGCATACTAGTGAATACTTCAACAAGTATGAGCAGAACCAAAGATCAACCAATATAGGGTGAGCATGTATGCAGCGGAAGTCTGATAAA